AGCCATTAGGTCCTCGGGCTCATCTTCGGCGGGTTGTTGAGCAGCATTCAGTTCCTCGACCTGCTTGCCCAGGCGTTCGACTTCAGCAGCCAAACGGTCCCTGTCCGTCCGGAGCAACTCCCCTTCCTCGGTCAACCGCCCCGACTTCTCTTTCTCCAAGGTCAGCGCCTCCCTCTCGGCGTCGAGTATCACGGTCTGCTCTTGGAACATCCCCTCGGAGCGTTCCAGAGCGACCTTCAACTTCCTTGAGCTCACAGTCAAGGCCGCCTTCTCCCGCTCGAGCTCTTCAACACGAGCAGCATCCCCTGCGTCTTCAGACAATACCAGAGCCATTTCAGCCATTTTAACCAACCCGTCCACACTGGCGACCAGCCGCGACCGCCTCTCCTCTTTAGTCATCCTCTTTATGGCCTCGGCTTCATGCGCGACCACGGTCGGGGGAAACCGCTCGAAAAAACCTTCCTCCTCGATGCAAGGGGGAAAGGCAAAGGATTGAACGGGACCGGCATCTTCCCCGACAGTCGGACCGCCTTCCACGCGGGTCCTCTTCCTATGTGTCAGAACGGCTTCGGCATCAATGACCTCGACATCTGGATCTGACGCCGCCCCCGAGCTCGACGTCGAATCCACCCTCACATGCTGAGGAGGGTTCAGAGTTGTTGGTGGACCCATTCTGGTCGCCTGAGGAGCCGGGACGACCTTCTTGTTTCGCCTCTGGCCGGTTGACAATTTTAGGAGCCTCTCGTGTCGGCTGGCCATCGTACCTGCACGAAGTAAAACAAAAGTCAGTATCGAGCAAAACGCGTAAATAAATGACAAGTAAATTGCAAACAAACAACCTAACAGGCGGGCTGCCTCCCTATAGGTCGAACATTCCACCAACGCCTTGGTGTCGATCGGGCGAGCCTCGAATGTCGGGTAACCATCCTTGTCGAGGATGTCATTCCCCTCCCGTGTAACCCACTGGGCGGGATGAAAACTGTCGACGAAGTTGCAGAGGGTCGTGTACGCCCGCTGATCCTTCGTGCACATGTCCCCGACTGCAGTGTGGAAGTAGCCGGTTCCATGCTGGAAGTGTCGAGACATCCAGTACACCGGGAACTTAGCCCGACGTCCTAGCACGGGGCTCCCGTCATCGTTCAACAATGCTTCCCCGTCGTCATCGCTGACCGGCCCTTCCTCCTCGTAGAGGGAATCCACAGCAGAATCAGTGATAGGGTGTACCACATACCACTTATCCTTGAACCCCCTCACAGAATCCATGTACATCCTAAACAGTCTCCTCGACTGCTTCAAGGACACCCAGCTGTGCTTCCCTCCCCGGGACTGGCGCTGTAGGTGGAAGACCCTAAAGAAGAGAGGTATGGTCGCCCCTATCCTTAAGTAGCGGCACGTCAGCTCAAACGCCCGGATGAAGGCGAGAGAGTTAGGGTGTAGCTGGGACGGGGCCAGCTCCAAATGCGTAAAAACCCCGGTCTCAAAGTCTGTGAAGGGCAGCCGCAAACCCAAGTCCTTAAAGGCGATCTCGTACATCGCAAAACTGTAATCCGGGTACATCGAACAAATTCTGGCAGTGGTCGCAGGCAGCATGACCTCGAAATTCGGTTGAAAGTCGGGCTGGTCCTGCCCCCCTTCAATGGCGATGAACGGGTGTCGGTCATCCCGACTGTATATCGACGCCGTCCCCCGAGGTTCGGCGCCCACCCATTCCAGCGATGGGTCGGTCACAGTGTCTATAAGGTTGGCCGACTCGTCGGCACTTTGTTCTTCGCTGTCACGACGACCTGAGGAGCTCGGCTCATCCGCCATGGTTACCTGCAGAGCACGGGAAACCAATCAGATTGAGCATGAAGCCCTATGCTCGACATAATCATGTCGTCCATACACTACCGCAAGTCCATTTTCACAAGTGGATGCCTCCCCGACTCTCCTGAATCCAGTGTTCCTCCACAAACCAACTGCACGGCCACTCTTCAAGCATGTCGGTCCGGGGTATGAACATGGCGAGCCGCATTATGAAGCCCACGGCCACGACCATAAACATACCGGGCACCGGCATGAATCAGGCGCCCAGGATCATGAATACCCCGGGCAGCTCTGAAGTTTTTCACCTAAAACTATGAACGCGTCGGCCACAAGTATGCGTTTGCCGGTCCTAGACGTAAATCTGTCGGGCAAAACACGAGTTTACCGGGCTAATCCCACATTAACGGTCCTAAAACATCCACAATTTCCTAGAATCATGCATTCTAAAACAAGAAAATAAAGAGAGTGGATCACTTACTTGGATCAAAGATGGGATTCGGCTAGGAAAAGAAGAATCTGGGACGGGAAGTCACGGTTGGAGAGAGTGTTGAGAGTTGCAACGAAGAGAGCACGAAGAACGGAAAGCGTATTATGGGGCCCAAGGACCCTATTTATAGTGATGACATGGAATACCAAACGTCACCTCGTTTAGCCACGGACTCCGTCTCCTCGACGCACTGCACCCAACGCAATGATGGCCCTACCCCCCTAGGGTGGCGGCACAATTCCCAAAAGATGCCTCGCGTGCCCGACCAACGTGCTCGGTACGGATCCTCCACGCATCCACCACCGAGGACGTTCCCGAGCACGACACGAGGAGGCTCCTCGAGGGGCCGCGCCTCCATTCTGGGCACGAGACCTCAGCGACTGAACAACTTGGTTTCAAGTCATGGCTCCTCGCAAAGGAACCACGACTTGGGGGGCTCCTGTTCTGGACTGGGCCCGACAGGCCCAAAAGCATTACTAAGGCCCAGTCCAATGGGACTCACTAAGGACCACAACGTCTATGCCCGACACCCTGATGTCCACCTCGACATCTCAGTGTGCCAGCCCACGCGACGAAGTCACGCTCGACAGACTGCCGTCCAGCTCTATGCCCTGGTTTCCAGCTCGACATTCGCTGTCCAGCTCGGGGTCTTGGCGCCGAGCTCGACATCATGCTGCACTGCTCGACATGGACTCAAGCTACCTTGCTAGGGCAGACTCAGTCACCATTGCCCCAACGATACTCCGTAAAGACCGCGTCTCTGTCCGCCCGCACTTCACGCACCACATCCAGGGAGGGGACCACGTGCTGATCCCCACTACCCACGTAGGACCTGGCAGTTCCTCCATTGGGCCAAATCCGCCCGGCCCAGTGAAGGAACCTTGGCCCAGCGCTGGGGGCTATAAATACCCTCTGCTTCCAGAGGGTCAGGTAATCATCAATTCTAACCTCAACTCTATTATCTGCTAGTACTCCCACTGACTTAAGCATCGGAGTGCCTTGCAGGTACCCCCCCCTCCTCGTTCAAAAAGCCTTCAGCTCGGAGCAGCCGTGACGGTCCAAACCTCCTGATCAGGTCAGATCAATCACCAACTACAAAAGTATGATTGTATTATTCCTTTCAATCCAGGATTGGCCAACAGGTTTAATAACATCATTTTCTTCCTCCAGATCAAACTTCCCGCATAAGAAATATGCCTTTGAAAGTAAATATCGAGTCGTACTATTTCCAGGTCCCAATGTCGGGGTCATGTTTCTAGTGTTCTTGCTTTGTAGCATAAGAATGATTCCACGACATACATGACCATCAGCAACAACAAAGGAGCACATATAACAATTTACATTGTGCTATACAAACCACCATCAACAACCCAGTCTATTTAAAAACTCGAAGTAGAGAGCAACTTACTGCTACAGTCATAATAGTTGCACCAAAAAAAGAGATACTGAGAATTCCAACTGCCTGCAGACTACAATATAAGAACAAAAGATGATTTCGATTTAGCCATAGTTTTTCAAATGCCCAAAAGCTAGGGAGAAGAAGACTGCTACCAAAATCACTTTTTTGACTAACTTGTAATAAACTGGCGCTAAATTTGAATAACTAAAAGTCCTAAATCAAAATTGAAATATAAGGCCATTTATGAGCTTACCTATCAGCTGATTGATGAAAGTTTGTAAATGTGTAGAAAATTAATAATGAAAAATCATATGATTGATGAAAAATCACTCGGTAATTTCGAATTTAGCCCGTTGAAAGCAGCGACATAAGCAGCCTGTTAATTAGACATTCCTTCAAAAGACATGTGATCTGTTAGTAGCTTCCATAAAAAAATGTGAAACCTATACACATGGACCTTTATATTATAGTTCTTTTTATCTCCTTGCCGTAACGTTACCGTGTTGTACAGTACAACTACAAAAATGCAAGCTGTCATAAGAGAATTTTCTAAATGATAATAAGCACTGCAAATTGTTTGTGATTGGAACCTTTGATTCACATTTTTGGATAGTTATCAATGAATCAATAAAATTACGTCCCAAAAAAGACGGCATACCTATGGTGCCATACATAAAAGACGGCATACCTCTGATTTTATGTAACCAATAATTTGCCTGCATTGTCATCGTGTCAAAAAAACATAACACTTATTAAGTTTAGAAGTCGTCGGTATATACATCGATCAAGCATTCAACCATTAATGCCAAAATGAAATGTCTACATACAATTTATCAAGCTATCAAGCGTACATGATAACAAATATCTACTTATATTCATAATAAACTGCTATATATTAATATGTAAAACACAAACACATTTTTTGAAGTTGTATATCATGCTTCTTTCGCTAAGGTGGGGAGATTCTTCTTTCGGATAATTATCAATGAATCAATAAAATTATGCCCCAAAAAAGACGACACTAACTAAAAGTCCTTAGACACTTAATTCACATACAACCAAACAAATTACCAGATGGTAAAGAAATTAATTACCAGAAACATTTTGCTTCTTATCAGAACCTCTCTCACTAATCAGTTGATTCGCAACCACCTTTCTTTTTGGACCACGGTCAAACTAAGTTAACCGTCTTTTATCAGTTTATAGTAACATATCTAATAGCCGGTGACGAAATTGAATACGTGTAAGTTAAAAACAACTTATTTTCGGGAAACTACTTAAGAATCTCGATAAGAAGCCTAACCTTCTTTAGCTCCTGACGAAATTCCCCTTTTTTTCATTCTCATTATTCTCCAAATATCCATCATTTCGAGCCCAACTGTGAGTTCTACAACTCGAGTTTAGTAAATGTTCCCCAGACGAAATAAAAAACAGCATCTTTTGTTTGGCACTGGTAGTGAGATCCATGCATTCAGTTGCGGAAACTGAATTACTTGGAACATGAACATAAGGAAAATCATATGTTTCATCCACCTGAGCTGGTTCGTTCAAGTCGGCCAAACCATTTATTCTCATCAAAGACTTCTCAGGTCTTGGAGTGTCCCGGCAATAGGTCTTCCCACCATCATCATCCCCCTTTCCAATTTTACAACTTTGATCAGCAATGAAAGTAAGGCATAAATAAAATATTATTTGTCAGAATAACATGTCTAAGAATAAGAACAATGAAAGTGTTCTCATGTATAACCACTTGTTAATTGATAACTAAGGTTTAGCATCATATCCTATATATTAAATATCATGGTAGGGTGGTGGTGAACAAATACCTAGATGGAAAATGTCATATCAGAAATTGATTTCCCATATTCAGCAAATAAAGCATCAGTTCCAAAAACCACTCCTAGTCCAGTGGCAGCCTCTCTTCCCAATGAACCTCCAAGATCCTACAGGCCAAATATTTCAAACTGATGTCTTAAATCTTGGATAGACAAATTATCATTGTTATACAAATAGCTTATGCACAACACTAAATAGCATATATATAAACACTCAATTAAGTAGTCTATTCAAATAGGACCTAAAACTGCAGTTGGTAGTGATTGTGAAATACTATTATACACTTACAATAGGCTTGCCAGTCACCACTGCTGGTGAATGACCGTGAAACTTAGAATACTCATCAAGCATCTAAGCCATTGTCTGAGCACTAGTCCTTATATCAAGGGCAGGAACACCTCTATGAATGCCAATGAGATGCACAAAGCAAAACAATATCATCAGTATATGTTTCAATCACATCCACTACATTGCCCTCGAACAATCGTCATTTTTACGCCTCAATCTCTTCTGCTGCCACATCTATTTTATCATACAACTCCACCATATCCACCTTCAAATGAGAAGTCTTCGTCTCTCCGGTGTACTTTCTTTGTCTGATTAATGGAGCCCCCTCTTCTTCTTCAGATGAATCCACCCCAATTGTCGCATCACTGCGGCTTTATTGGATTCCCTTTATCTTTGATGTTCCAACTTCTTTAGCTTCCTTTGCGGATACCGCCACGACTTTATTTGAAGCGGGGCAAATTTATGATTCAGGGGTCTCTATCTAGATGTTCATTCTAATGCAAAAATTAACCATCTTATCCATACATTCCTTCTCCATACATAAAAAGCTTTGGCATAATTTGTACATCTCATTTCTATTACTTTTAGTGTGTAATGGCCTAATTATGTCACTGATTCTAGAAATTTGTGTTTTATACAAGTAACTATAAAAGTCTTGCTCTTGAAGTCTTTTGAGAAATGGAGAAAAACTATTAGACACATAACATGGTCCACGTTTAATTTTTCAATCAACATACTTGAAGGCCAATTTTGCTCTCAATGCCTTCTGCAATTTCCTTAAACACTGAGGGATATACAATTTTGGCAGCAGCTAGAAAAGCAGACAATGCAATGTGAGAAGACAAGTAGTGAATGAAGGTGAAGTCTGCAGAAAACCAAAAGAAAATCCAGTTAATATAATATACTAATATAATATACTGTCCAAGCATTACTGTTAGAGAACATACATTAGTTTTTGTTTACCTCCTTGAGCTTAAACTATGATCTCATTAATGCAACGACGTTTAAAACTACCGAATTTTTGGAAGTAAGCGTTATAGTTGTTTAGAACGCAGAAAGCAGTCACAGATCACATCTTCCAATGAAGTTCATCAAGAATCGTAAGCTCCATTCTCATTACCATCACTGACTGTACAACAAATAAGTTTCGCGATTTAATTGCGCGTAAATTTACATAAACAAATACGTCTTAGTTCCGAGTAAAGTGACACACACATATAGTTTTTCCAGAAGCTGATCAACTGAGAAGTATGTTCTCCTCATCTTGTCAGATAAGGTGAGACGAGCGATATCAATCAAACAAACTTTTGCAGTATCTATACGACCTTCCACATCCTTACAACCAAAGTGTTTTCAGTTTTAACAAAAATAATTCAAAAAAATTAAAATTAAAAAACATACATGCTACCTTCATGATCAGTGTGTCTGGAAAGGAAACGATCAAAATAGTTCATAGCAAGATAAGGAATAAATGCATCAGGAGATATGAGCACCTGTTCAGCAGATGTTTGAAATGCTATGTACAATGCTCTTACTTTATATCCATGAAGCTCAGAAGCATTGCTTATCTTGCTATTAATTAGACAAGAAGGAGAGAATGAAAATGAGAACCAGACCTTTTCATTGTTAACAGATTGGCTCATCACGAGACTACTCTCTTTGAGTTGTTTTTCCAACACCACTATCTCATCTATCAAATCATCTTGAAGCTTTCTGAGTAAAAATTTCAACAAAGTACAAGCATTGAGAGAGCACACACAAATGACAATAACAATTGGCTATCTAATAAACTTTTGCATATAATTTAATAGAAACTGTGAGAGTATGGGTATAAACAAACTTCAAATGTACCTATGCTTTTCAATATGTGCATGTCATGCACCATCCAATTTAACAGATGATAAGTGATCGGTCTCAGCAGGCTCGTGTGCTCTATCATCAGTACTTAAGGCAGCTCTGTCCAATGAATCAGATGAGTAATGGCAAAACAACCTACAAAACACAAGCAGCGGTAAAAAAGGTTAACATTAACTTACACATGCCTTCTTCATTAAATTTATGCAATTTGCGCACCTACAAGTTAAGTAAAATGTTTTTATTTTGGAATGAATTTGAAACTCATATATTGCAAAAGAAATAATAAATACTAACTTAAAACAACTTTTTTGGCTGAAAAGGGCATGGCTGGCTATAGAATTTTTTTTGTTACTAATACTACACTTACAGCAAAGCTTTGATAGAGGATAAAACAATCATGCTGTGAAATAATATTAGTTAAGATATTTGTTGATGAACCAATTTTCCAAGATACAATAGGCAATAGCTAACAAATACATACCACATGAACCAACTTTGAAGCAATGGCTTCAATCTTCTCTAAATAATCGTTCAATGTAGCCTTTGAGAGCCTGCAAGACTGCTTGAGGACTCCTTGATGAAGAAACCTAACAAATCAAATAAACAAAATCAGTTGAATTAATGAACAAAGTTTAAGAGAGAGTAAGCGGTCTCATTGAAACCAATAACTACTTTAACGACTAGGAATAAACCTACCTCTTTCTCTAAGAAGAGAAGAATTAGTATCATCAAGACCAGGACCAACATTCAGAATCGCTCCTAGGAATTGGAATAGAAACCGCTCGATGAAATAATAAATGGATTTTGAAACGGTTTTTGAAATTGGAAGTTGTTAGGAAGAGGAAGAAGAGAGGATGGGAGAGAGAGGAAGAAGAAGATAAAGGAGTAAAAAATTGAAATTTACAGTGTTTTGTAACCGTATTTAGAAGGGATGGCAGGGTTTATCCAATTTTGTGTAGAAAGAAAATTGTATAAATCAAAGAGGTTATCCATGTGGCTTGCAATTGGAATATAAGAACAAAATAGGCTTTTTGAGTAGAATCACTTTTCTTATATTATAGATTCAACAGTTCAAATTTAAAACTATGATATTAAATAAATATAATATTAAATAAACATGTTAAAATTACTACTATACTGATGTTTAATTAAGATTGTTACTGGAAAATTTATGTTTACTTCCTAGCTTCTTTCTAGTGTTTAAAATGTCTTATGTATGTTGATTTTTATGTTCTTGTCCTTTTATTATAGTTCTATCTCCATTGATCAGGGACGGGAGGCAAGAGATAATTGGATTTTAACTTAACCAAAATTTAATGATTGTTGTTAACAAAATCAACTGTAATAGTTTTGTGTCTACTCGAAGCTATGTATGGAAATATCACTAATGGGAAGAATATGGTGTTAAGCTTCATGGACAACGAGACCAAAATGACGTTGTATCTAGCAGAAATAGGGTAACCTATATTAGAAATTGTCATCCATTTCTCACGTCCTTGAACACCCAAGCTAGCCACCCGCAACAAACTGATAACTTCTGATATTATGTCATAGAACACGCTAGAATACATTTGATGTTGTTGATAAACTTCAGTATCTAATTATATCTGAACCAAAGGCCGAGACTATTCTCCCCATCCAAGTAAAGGTGAAATAGCACGGAAGATACAATTTACATCTTGTTGTACCCTAAAATTTTTTCTCTCATTTTATTCAAGACATACTCCTAGAGATCCTCAAATACTCAAGGTTGACCAAGAATTGACCAGACAAATTCTCCTCATAAGCAATGGATTTCCAACTAGGGTTTCACTTTTCATAAAGAAGTTTAGGTCTCAAAGGCCTCAAGTGATTTCAATGGTTCCTAATATGTCAAGAATTTCCATGCCAAGTTTCATACCTTACATCACAAGTTTGCTCGGTCAATTGCTCAGATGACTAAAAATCAACTATATTAGGTCAAAAGTCAATTGTTGTCAATATGCAGTCAAACTTCAAGAGTTTTGGTCAACATAATTTTTTTTAAGTGATATTCATAATTTGATCAAGGGGTGATCATTATTCCTCAAGGGATGCTCTCAAATCATCAAGAATCAAAAATTGCTAAATTTGGGTTTCCTAAGAAAAGTCAATTGAACTTTGATTAGGCATAACTTTCACATGCTTCATCCATTTTGCCCCAACCAAAGCTCATTGTGAATAAAATTCAATTCTCTACAACTTTTCTTTTGTCCTCAAGTTCAGAATATGCATCATTTGGAAGGTATGAACTCATACATTACATGTCATTTTCAAAAGTCAACAAAAGACACTTTTTGTCAAGATAATTTACATCAAGATAATATCTTCAAAAGTAAAAATGGTCAACATAAAGATTGTAGAGGAGATCTTGGAATTTCCATAAAGTACAAGATAATCCCCAAGAGATGAAAATTGAGCAAGTTATGACCAGTGCAAATTTGACAAATTGGTTAAAATGCAAGAAGTAAACTTTGAGCAAAAATGCATTTTTAAGTTCATGGACCTATGTTTTAGGGTCCAAGCATGTTTATGACTTACTCAAGGACCCCTAAACTTATTTATGCACTATTATGATTTTTTATTTGAATTTATTTGAATTTTATTCATTTAAATACCAATTAAATCAAAACAAAATGCAAAGTAGGATGTAAGGCGTGTGGGCTTTGTTTGTTGATCAAATTGAAGCCCAAGAATTCTAACAAAGCTGTCAAAAATGTGCAGAAATAGAATGGAAGAGGAAATCATCAAAAATGGCAAGTTTGGATACAAAATTGAAAACTCATATTTTGTCATCAAGCCATAGAGATTTTGTGCGAATTTTTTAACCTAGTTGCTAGCACATATAAACACAATGGATCCAGATCAATAGGATATATGCAGCCATCTTGAAGAAAACCCTAGAAAACTTTCAAAATTTCAAAGAATATTGAAAATCTATATTTCGTGATTCAGCCGCTTCCAGAACAAACCAAGTGTCCTATCCATTTCTTGAAGGTCCCAAGAACCCGCCTTGACCCTCCTTGAAGCAGATTTATGAACAAAACGACCATATCAAGTGGTACCGATTTGTTAATTTTCATAAATTTCAAACTCTTTACTCATGCGGTTTCAATTGATTTTATGCATACATACGTGCTCGTGAACATGTTTAGATTTATTTTGACCTATTGTTTACAAGTTCTAACGCAAGGATAACGAAACACCACGGTTAGGGCATGAAGTTCCATTTGGTTTGTACCTCATGGTACAATTGCTTTTAGATCAATTTAAGGCCAGAATCGGATCCAGGGCTCAATTTTGTGTAGGATAAGCCCTTTAACCATTCCCAAATCTCACGTTTTCGCAGGTTTAAGATGTTTGGCAGACCGGAGAAGGTGACTGGAGTTGAACTCCGGCACCGTTGACTTTTATTGACTCTGGTGGCCCAAACGTCATCACCTTATTGGTCTGTTTGAATATACTGGCGTGCGCATTTGAGAATCTGGGAATATAACTGAATTCTCATTATATTATTTTTGTTTTGTTATATTCATGATTGAGTTGCATGGTCCAGTGGTGGAAGCAGTGTGTGTTAAGGTGTTGTTATGGGCAAGGGCAGAGGTTCGATCCCGCCTCTTGCCATATTATTTTTCTAATTTCTATTTGCAGATCTAGTGTCCCAGGAGGCTAGCGTGCGTACGTGCATCCCATCATCATCACCATTGCATCCATCATAGCGCCAGATCAACGATCCAGATCTAAACGTTCACGGTAGATCTCTCAATGAGCAGCACTACCGGATCACATGTGTGGACTTTGGGTTGGTTCTGTCATGGGCCTAGAAAATTTCACACATAACCCCCCCCCTAGTTGCTTTGTCCATCATGCCCATTTCTTTTTTAATTTTTATTCTTTTTAGCTTTATTTATTTATTTGTTTTATATTATTTTCAAAATTATTTTTATTTTATGATAAAATCACAAAAAAAATAGATTTAGGTTTTTTTATTGAATTTAATTTTTGTAAATTAATTAAATTAATTAATTTAATTATTTTGATTAATTTAAAACCAATTAGAACTAGGTTTAATCATTTCAAATCTTTTTTCAAATGAAAATACCAAAAATAATAATTATTTCTTATTTATTTTATTAAGATTAGAATTAATTTAATTTAAGTTTTCGTAAAACAAATAAAAACAACAAAAATATTCTACGCATTTAGGAGTTTTAAGGTTTTAATTCGCTTCCCATATTCTTGCGCTTATTTTAAATATCGAATTTGATTCTTTCATATTGATGTAACTGCAAAAGGATGTAATAGCTATAAATTTAGAACTTTATTTTTTTATTTCCCCTTTTTAGGTTTGTAATTCCCCCTCCCCGAAGCCATGTAATAGCGTAGCTTTAAATTCCGCACTTTATTTTTTGCACTGATATTAACTGTTAGATGCATGCTAATAGGCTTGTATGGCAAGATAAAAGCAAACGCTATCAAACTTAACATCCAAAGATAAATAACTGAAACACAACACACTCGCACACGCGCACCTCTAGGGTATCTCCACTTGTTGCCTTCAGAATGAACAGTCACGATTCTCGAACATAAGAGGTTTTAGTGGCGACCCTTTAGTTTAAATATCATAAGTCCCTCGATGACCCTTTCGACGTTGCCTCGGTATATGATCTTAAAATCTTAGGGTAGTTACTAAAGTATCTTACTAAGTTGCTTTCGTGATTGTACGATGACCCTCGCTTGTCCCTAAAAACATCCAACAATAGAGCTA